AGACTACACAGCGAACAACCCGGAAGACATAAATCTTCATACTCTGATGGCGGAGGCAGTATGATCTCTGAAACGTTGGTTAACATCGACCAGACTACACAGCGCAACAACCCAGAAGACAGAAATCTTCATCGCCCTGATGACGGAGGCAGTATGACCTCTGAAACGTTGGTTTACATCGACCAGACTACACAGCGAACAACCCGGAAGACATAAATCTTCATACTCTGATGACGGAGGCAGTATGACCTCTGAAACGTTGGTTAACATCGACCAGACTACACAGCGCAACAACCCAGAAGACAGAAATCTTCATACTTCCTCCATCTTCAGGGCTGATAATGGAGACCCGCGGGTCTATGCGGTGTCAAAACCCAGAAAAACAACGTCGTCAGTACAACGGAAGGTCTGCGTAAATAAAAACCTGGAGCGATACGGAAGGAAGCGATCATGGCTCATTTTAATTTACTGATTCTATATCCTCGAGACGATAACTGAGAACAACTGACAACCTTATGTTTTCCTCTGCTGAAACAGAGAGACGAACAGGGAAGCCTCCGAAAGCACGTCAGAAGCGTTCATGCTTTGGTTAATCTGGTACGTGCCTTCAGTATGAATACAGTCTGCCAGTGATCAGCGGAAACGCTGCTGTATGCTGCATCTTTTAAAGAACTGATCATGATCTTTGTTGCGTCAGACATGCGTACAGCTGTACACACGTTCTTCACCGCAAAATAAGATTCGCGGCGCGCCCTCCAGTCGGGCTGTTTACCCGCCACTACGACGCCTTCGACCCACCGAGAGACGCTCCACCTCCACCCCCACCCGGTGGCCACCAGCGAGCAAGTTGACACCTCAAATTGAGCGTCTGGTTTACTGCCCGGCATCAGCGACGGGGCGGCTTCTGGCATTCAAATTCCTGCATGACCCTGTCTCCACCGCCTGTTATTTATCTTGTTACGCGAACTGTCTTGGGTTTCACGTACACAAACTGACCATTATGACATGTCTGTCGTTTATAGTTTGCTCAACAAGGCCGGTCAACTGCCTGAGTCCACTTCTGGATACAGTAAAGGACGAGAAGGGGACGGGAGAGTTTGCTTTTGCAAACTTTGTGAGGAAGAAAGAAAGAAAGAAAGAATGCAGGAAAAGAATGAAAAGGGAGAAAGAGGGGAAAATAAAATAAGAAAGATAAGGTGTCTGACAGAAACCGATAGACGTTTCAGAGGTCTTGCTGCCTTCATCGTCAGGGCGACTCATCGCTATCTTCTCTGTCATCTTATTTCCTAAAGAA